TGTTATCTTTTTCCAAAAAAACAGCTGAACATGAGAGGTTTTTGGACCAATTTTGTGTTCTCCATTCTTTAAGCACCGGTTTGAGCACCGTTTAAGCACCGGCACCGTTTCAAAAGTACCGGTTTGGCACCGGTATCGGATAAAACCTAAACGATACCCATCCCTACACATGAATGCTCCAGCAAACTTCCAAAACCTCTGCTTCTTTAGAGGTGTTTGCACTTGCTGATGATCAGTGTGAATTTGAATAGCAGGACCTTGGTGCTAGTTACCCTTCTAATTCCACAGAAGCAGTAAAGCATGGTTCTTTTTTTTTTACACACTGCTTCTGCATTTTGGCTTATTTCTCATAAAATATATAAAACGTAATGTGTTGTGTATTGCTGTTCATCTGAGGTAGGTGAGACACTGTTTAACGACTTGTCTCTTTTTAAAAAAAAAGGAGGTGGAAAAAGCCAATATGGTTTTTAATGTTCTGGACAGGAGTCACACATGAAGCAGCCTTTAGTGGCTATTAGAGGAACTGCAGCTTTTGGCCAAATTTTACAACCTAACGGGTCACACTATGTAAAAAGGTTAACCTTTGTTAAAAGAATTTGAAAACAGAGGTATTATTGTTATATGTCTTTCATATCATCCTCCTTGGCCTCTATTCACAGCTATTGGGGTTTCATTTAACTGCTGTTCAAAATTCTACCCTGGAAGCAAAGCTATGTCTGAGCTCGAGACCAGGGCTGTAACTGACTTTGTAAGAAGCCGAAAGGACAGCTTCCTGTGTTTCCTCAGCATCCACTCCTATGGCCAGATGCTCCTGATTCCCTACGGACACCCCAACTACACCGCTCCCAACTATGATGAACTGGTATTTATGCCAACAAATGCAATAATGCTTTTTTTTATTTTTTTATTAACATACACACACATATGCATCTTTATAGCCTGACAATGACTAATCGTGCATGCATTTATATTAAAAAGGCAAACAGCCAGCAGAATGAGTAATTATTGTTAATTCATCTAGTAAAAGAGTAATAGATAAAAGTGGAATGGCAAACAGGTAAATGGACGTTCAATAATGACGATAACAAGATTCCACACAAACTATAGAGTTTAAAATATACATAAGGCCTAGTGCAATCATGTTTGAGTGTGCATGTGGACCAAAACACAGCAGGCAGGATGAAAACATAACCAGTGCCTTTAATAAGTATGTACAGAGCAGTCCAGAAATTCCAAAAAGCTAATCAGCTTTTTGGAATTTTTTGGAAGATGGAAAACTACTAAGACAACGGGATACTCAAGGAACTGATAACATTTAAATCTGTATTTATTGCCTCCTGAAATCTCCATATCACCACTAAATTTTTCATACAGAACAAGAACAAGGTTGTCTGGATCCATATTTCATTGACTGTATGACAAGTTCTTTGTGATTCCTCAGATGATGGTTGGTCAGGGAGCAACAGAAGCAATATGGAAGGTTCACCGAACAAACTACACTGTAGGAACCCCGCCCGATGTATTATGTGGGTTTATATATCAATTGCTAGGCAGTTAAATTTATTGCCAGTATCTCTGTGTTTTTAAAAAAATATAACTGCTGCTTTTCTTTCCCCAGACCCCATAACTGGTTCAGCCACTGACTGGGCTCGGATGCAGGGGATCCCTTTAACCTACATCATTGAGCTGAGAGACAATGGGACATACAGGTTTGAGCTTCCTGAGGATCAGATCCAGCCTACATGCGAGGAGGCCTACAGAGGAGTTTTGTACATCATCACCTACGCCCACGACAAGACGTTTAACGGTGCTGTAGCCAACACTGCTGTGACCCTTTCAGGCATACTGTTGGCAGCAGGTGTCACTGGAGCCACCCTGAGATGAGAGCTGTTTGATTTCAGTCATTCTGCAATTTGTGGCACTTATATTTAGTTCTTCAAGTAATTTTTCAGAAATAGAGTTTTAAAGTTTCATTGCTTTCTAAAAAAGTGCAGTTGATGTACAACTCTTTGTACTCAAAAATTCTAATCCATGAAGTGTACTTGCAGAGCATCTCCTCAGCCACTGTACTTTTTCACATAGTTTAAAGAAAATGATTTGAAGTTATAGCAGTTTTAATTAGTTGCCAATACTTGGTGTGTTGAAATATTCCCAAGACTATCAGGACTTTTTTTTATGTCCATCTAAGTCTTTTGAATGCCTTATATAAAAAGAATGTAAAACAAAATAAAACTACATAAAACTTATTTAACAACATTGATATTTACATGATATTTTCAGACAAAGGAGGGACATTTGAGACAACAACAGTTTTAAAACAGTGTGCCTGTAATTATTCTTGATGATGGATATTGTTTTATAAAATGACATATAGAAGATATACAATTAATCTACGTATATTAAGAGGCTCCAAGCTCTTTCTGTCTCCTTCATGCATGTATCATATGTTCTGTTCATTGAGGGACTAAGTCTAAAGGAATGCACAAATGATTAAAATAGACATTCTGTACTGAAAACAGATTTCAGGAGTGATGCAAGGGACAGATAACATAACCGTCAGCACAGTGACTGCAGATTTTTGTGTTTTCTTTTACATAAATACATTTTCTAACACAAAGTAAACAAAAGATAAATGAAGCATTCAAGTGAGTCAAAACTCTGCATAAAGTTTCCAGGGTGAGCATCCCTCTGGTCCCCACTTAATGCCCAATCTCCTAATGTGCAAACAAAACCTTCACCCATGGCTGAAGACAGTTACTAATTAATATGAATCTACAGCTACACTGTAAAAGCTAATTTGGCTTTATTTGAAATGTTCTCCCATTTTTGAGTTGATGAAACTGATTGTTGCTAAATAACTGAAGCTACTTTGTAGAGTAAACAAGGCCCACTTTAATGTGTGACTTCAGAGAATGTATTTGTACTGTGTGCATCGACTGCACTGTAGCGTTTCAGCTTTTTAAATGCATTTCCCTTCAACTTCCTATAGTGTGGAATTAAAGATTAAATATCATAGTTTATTCACTGAACAACAGAGTTTTTGCTCAAAATGTGTCATGTTTGATGTAAGCTGGTGGACTCAAAATGCACGACGATCATTCTGCTTGGAGCTTCAGTCACCGCTATCTCCATTAGCGATCATCCTCTTTTTGACTAAACCCTTTTTGACTAAACCCTTAGCTGGGCCTTTGTTTCTGATCAAAGACAAGACAACTCTCTCACGAGGTCTGGTTTCCTGCGCAGAAAGGAACAGAAGGTAAGTTAGAATCAGAATCAGAGCCAAAGCATACAAACATGCAAACACCAAGCACCAATCAGCACCAATCGCACTAACAGTTTCCAGTTTAACAATCAGTCATTAACTGGCTGTCTGGCTGTAAGTGTCTGATCGCACATTTAGTCACAGGTGGGTTAATTATACAGACAGGGAGAGAGAAAAAAAAAAGGAAAACTGAGTGAGAAGCTGGGTGATTAATTAAACACATGAGGACATTTAAAAAAAAAAAAAAACCCTCCTGATTGCAAATGGCTGTGTGGTAAAAACACAAATCTGACACAGTGTGGGGATAATGATCCGTAGGTAAGAGTGCATTATTTAGTGTTCTGCATCATCTAAGTTAGGAGATGAAATTACATTACATTACATTAGGTCTACTGATTGCACTTTTTAACCAGGGAATTAGTCACTAATCAGTTTGTAAACTGAAGGGAAACAACACGATTAACAAGAAATGAAAGCTGCTTTTTAAAAATAATCACTCATCTTTAGTTTTTATGAAAAGATCAATATTGAACAATATTGAAGAGGAACGAAGTTAATAATAATAATAATAATAACAACATTAAACACAATAGGGTTTAACACCTTATCTGTTTATACCGGGTCTGGGGCCAGGTGTTGGTGCCATCTGTAGCAGTTTAACACCTCAGCCTGGATGATTCAGATGTGGAAAACTGTGTGCTCTTACCTCTGGCTCTTACCTCTGGCTCCTTCATAACAGCCGGAGAAGGGGCGTTTAGGAAACTTGGAGGCGGCCCAGAGTTCTGTTTGCTTTTCTTTTCCTTCTTCTTCTCTTTTTATCAGATTTTTATAAATCTCGAGCACGATGGAATAAATGGAGACCAGGTGTGACAGGGTTAACTGATGGGGAGCCGTGAGGGAAGCAGTGAGGGAAGCAGTGAGGGAAGCCGTGAGGGAAGCCTTGTGAAGCGCGCAGTACAGCGGACTGAAGCCCGACTGTGGAGGAATGAGGCTGCGCTGCTAAGGCAACTGAGGAGCTCTCACAGTCTCTTCCCCTCTGTCTCTGCCCACATTACACAATCTGCGATGGCCTCCTATATGCTAATTTCAAAGTTCACTGCTGTTCAAGTTACACTGTAGAGGGCCTGAGCTGGGCCTTTGTTTCTGATCAAAACTAAATATAATGTTTTTCCCCAGGTACAGGTTGTTTGACGTGTTAATTTACAGACTATTTTTTTGTAATCGTATTGATGTTTCACATGTTTTAAAAATAATAGGAACAGTTTGTACAAAACTATATGGGAAAAAAGTTGTTAATTTATGAATATTTTTTACAGCGTAGAAAATATATTACCAATTTAAACTTAAAGTGAAACATTTCTTTTTTTTTTTTAAAGTAAGGCCATTTTTAATTTGGCATCCAAAAAGTTGGAACAAGGGCTACAAAAGGTAAGTAAGTGACACTAAAAAGAGCCCGTTTGTGGAACATTTTGCACCTACTTTGGTTTATTGGGAACAAGTAAGTAACATAACCAGACCTAAAAAGAACATCTTAGAGAGGCAGAACATCTGAGGAATACGCAGTAAATACAGTATGTCAGATGTGCCAC